TTCCGGGCTAGATCTGTTTCTTTGGCTACTTTTGTTATTATAATCACATGTAATGGCCTGGCTCAGAGAATCCTGTCCCTCTGCCTGACCATTAAGCTACAGCGCCTTTGTTCAGAACCCTATCCACCTGTAGATGGCAGGAAGGAAGAAATTAACACATTCCTTTTCCCGAGGCTTGCCATTTTAGGAGATTCATGCAAGATTAAATGACCTCTTTCAATTTGTTTCCTCACCTCCCCCCATCTCTGATCTATAAAAGAACCTGGCATCCAGACCCCAAAAAGATGGTTATTTTGAGACATTAGTCTGCCATCTTCACAATCAGCAGTTTTCTGAATAAGATTGGATTCCTTGCCTCAACACCTTATCTCTCGGATTCACTGGCCTCTTGTGCAGTGAGCAGAGTGAGTGTGGACATGGTAACAAGCTGATGATGTGTCCTGCTTTCATGAAAACCCGAGGAGGCTCCGCCATTGGACACACCTAATAACTGAAGGAATAGTCTTTCTTAAAGGGCACGATGGTTTCCTCTTCCATAGCTCTTGAGACATCCATCTAGAAGGATGTGGCTCTCCTCCTGTTGCCCTCCAAATTCCTTTCCCAGTAGGAGTGATTGCTTCAGGGGCAGCCAGTCTGACTGAGACTTAAAGAAGCCATATCCTGAGATGAGTCATCAAGAGATGCCTTTCTTGGAATGATTACTGCTCTGCTGTTTGGCATTTGACCAATTGCTGAGCTTTTCTAGAGCTGCCCTGCTTAAGGATATCCTTTCCCTAGGAACTCTAGTTCTGCAGGGTGTTAATCTGCTTTCAGTGGAAAAGCTCTGTGGTCAAATACTTTCGGGAAATAGTGGGTTAAAGAAAGTTGACAAGGTTTCTTAGTAACTGGACCATATAGATTCATTAACATGCTGATATACCATCAGATTTCCCATTAGGAGAATGCAGTATGCAGTGATTTCCAAACTTATGAGAACGGTAAGCCGCTTTTCTTCCCTGGCGTGTTTACTGAGACACCTGGGTAAACATAAGCCTTTACAAAGTAGGAGGACCCTTTGGCAGTGGCTCTCAAGCTTTGCTGCCCAATGTGATTAACTGGGGGTTTAAAAAATATGGATGTCTGGCTTGTGCACTCAAATATTCTGGACTAATTGTTTGGGGATACACTCTGGGCCTCAGGTTTTAAAAACTTCCCAGGTGATTCTATTATGCAGTGAAGTTGAGAATCATTAGCCCAGATCCTCTTCTCTTGTGCCGTCTTCCAAACGGGCTTAGTCAGCAGAGTACTGGCTTGGCTCACATCATTGTTTTGCCACCAAGTAGCTGCATAGCCTTCTCTGTAGCATGTTTTTAAAATTTATGTGACAAAAAAGAAACATAAACCCACCCTGATGGTCTTAGACCTCCTAAAAGGAAGGAACGTACTGATGGGGCTTCAGAAAAACGCTGCTCTTCAAGGATATGCCTTTGTTATTTTACTTTACAGTACACAGTATGGGCTTCCCAGGTGGCTCAAGAGGTAAAATATCTGCCTGTCAAGGCAGGAGACTCAGGAGACATGGGCTTGATCCCTGAGCTGGGAAGATCCTTGGAGGAGGAAATGGCAACCCACTCCAGTATTCTTGCCTGGAAAATGGACAGAGGAGCCTGGTGGGTTACAGTCTATAGGGTTGAAAAGAGTCTGACATGACTGATCACGCCCACGTACACACACACAGCACAGCGGATCTAGTAGGACTAGAGTGCCTGAGAATGCCTCCCAAGGCACCGTGTCTAGATCTAATTTTTGAAGATTAATTTATCAGAATCCCCTGCAGTGCCTGTTAGCAATGCAGATGCCTGTGCCCTCTGGCATAGACACTGCACCAGAATCTACGGATGTGGAACAATAGTATTCACGTGTTAAATCAGTTCCCTGCGTAATGCTTACGCGCCCTGAGTTTGGGAAGCAGTGCCCTGGAGCAGAGGCAGGTCACCGTTAAGAGTGTGCTCAGTTTGCCTGGGGGAAGTCTGCTCAGGACCTGCTCCCATCTGCCTTTGCAATTATCATCTTGACCCTTCCACTCTGAAGATTCTCTTCCTGTCAAATGGTGAACTATCAGAGTCACCAATTACAGCATTTCTTGGCCATGGCAGGGAAAAGCGTGTGTTTACAAAACAGCCTCCTTTGGGGATCAGGTCCTCAGACGGTTAAGAATCTGCCCGCAATGCAGGAGACCTGGGTTCGAGCCCTGGGTCGGGAAGACCCCCTGGAGAAGGGAAAGGCTAGCCACTCCAGTATTCTGGCCTGGAGAATCCCATGGACAGAGGAGCCTGGAGGGCTACCATCCATGGGGTGGCAAAGAGTTGGACATGATTGAGCGACTAAGCACAGCACATAGTTGGCTAGGGCGTCACTGTGCAGAACACCTGATGAAATTCTCAACTGAGATACAGAAAACCTTCAGAGAAATATTTTCTTTTGGTACAAGGTAGAAATGAAACAAGGAATCAGCTCCATCAGACCCTGGTGGCAAGATGTAGGATGGGGCTTTGGGAGTTTGAAATTAAAGAGAAAACTTCAAAGATATTAGACATTTTGGTGGGAAGATAAATTGTCTTTCCCTGGAGACTTACCCCGGGGACCAATTATGGCATGATGCTAGGGCAGCAAGTACAAAAAGCACCAATGGAAAGGTCTAGTGCAGGATCAGAAGCTGAGAAACAGAGGCTGGTCCCCAGGCCCTGATATCCTGGGCTAAGTCTACAAACATCCTGGGTAACTCTAATGTCAGGGAGGTATTGTTTTGTCGAGGGTGAGAGGAATTCCATGAAGTTCGAATAAGACATAGTGGTTCTGGAAGCAACCCCCCATGAACCAAGTTGCTGGGATCATGGACTCACGCTGCATTTTTGTCCATTTAAAGAGAATGAAGACAAAATACTTGAAGTCCAAAGAAGAAAAGTGACTTGCCCTGGGTCATACATCTAATGTGAGTGAGCTAGAACCCAGGTCTCCTCTAGATCAGCCCGTCATTGACAGAGGAAAAACTAAACAAAGAAAAAGACACCAGTGAAGTGGAAATCAGGTAAGCTTGGTTCACGCCTCTGCTTGTGCTTCAAAATCAAATTTTTACTCTTTGTTATTATGTCTAATGGGTCAGCTTAGTTTTGGCCTGGCTGCTGGTACATCAGGTAAGCAAACATGACTGACACCCTCCTTTACAGCCCGATTCTAGAACTCTATTAAGAGCCCTCAAGTTTATTAACCCAGTGCTTGGGTTAATAACAGTGCTTGGGTAATGCCAGGCTGCAGAAATAGTTCTGCTTTCAGATTTGGATGCTGTTTATTATCAAGGGTTTCCCTGGTGGCTCAGCAGGTACAGAATCCGCCTGCAATGTGGGAAACCTGGGTTTGATCCCTGAGTTGGGAAGATCCCCTGAAGAAGGGAAAGGCTACCCACTCCAATATTCTGGCCTGGAGAATTCCATGGACTGCATAGTCCATGGAGTTGCAGAGAGTCAGATAGGACTAAGTGACTTTCACTCACTTATTATCACTGCTGCTTTTACCAGTGACTGTGAGAACAACCAACAATGCTTATGGAGCTTTGTGAGGTGCTAAAAGGAGCTTATGTTTGCTCTTTGGAGTCAAAGGTTAATGCAAGTACTTGCAAAAACCAAAAAACAAACAAACAAACAAAAAAACAAACAACCAAACAGGAAACCCTTGATAAGCCAGCCAACTCTAATTAGGACAACAGCTATTTGTTAAAGATGCATGTTGTCAGACTGAAAATAGAAATATTCCTATAAGCACAGCTCACTGCTGATTGCTATGGATTTTTTGTTGTTATTTATGCTTTTTTTTTGTTCATAGAATATAAATTGCCTTTCCTTAAAATGTTCACTTAAAATTTTAAATAGCCACCATATATATGTACAGTGCTTCTGCATCTATTTTAATCTTTGCATTAATATTATCTCATAAGCAGGGCTGATATATTGATCCCCTTTTGGGAGAAGAGGAAATTGAGGTTCAGAGAGGTTAAGTGCCTTGTGAAAGATTAAACAGCTAATTGGGGACAGAGTTGCAAATACAAAAGCTGACTTGTAGGGGTGGGGAAGGAGAGGGAGGGATGAGTTGAGAGAGTAGCATTGAAACATATACATGATCATAAGTAATAAAGTAGATAGCTCGTGGGACGTTGCTGTATAACACAGCTTAATCAGGTGCTCTGTGACAACCTAGAGGGGTGGATCCAGTGAGGGGTGGAAGGGAGGTTCAAGAGGGAGGGAACAAATGCATGCTTACTGCTAATTCACCTTGCTGTATGTCAGAAACCAATGCAACATTGTAAAGCAATTATCCTCCAATTAAAATTAAATAGAAGCTGGCTTGTAGAGGGGATATAGGTATACACAGAGCTGATTCACTTTGCCGTACGGCAGAAGCTAACACAACTTTGTAAAGCGACTATGCTGCAATCAAAATTAATTAAAAAAAGAGCTGACATAGATTAATTACTTGATCTTCATTCTTAGTATAAGGGAAGCATTCAATAATCTTTAAATTAAAAAAAATTTTTTACACTGTTGTGTTGATTTCTGCTCCTTAAAAATCTAGGAACAGATCTACCATAAGACCCAGCAAACCCACTCCTGGGCATATTCCCTGAGAAAACAATAATCAAAAAGAGATATGTACCCCAGTATTCATGGCAGCACTGTTTCCAATAGCCAGGGCGTGGGAGCAACCTAGATGTCCATGGGCTGATGAAAGGACAAATAAGTTGTGGTCAATATATGTGATGGAAGCTTTCGTGACTTTTTATCCTATACGGTAGTGAGCTCTGTATTTTGTCCATTTCCACAGTAGGCTGCCAGGTTTATTGATGTCCAGAGCTTTACCTATCGGACACTCAGCTTAAATCTCTTTTTTTAAAATGGCTTGAACGTCTCTTCAGGGATCCCCCGATGGAGCGCTGGGGTCTCCGCCTTCACCCGCAAACCGCTGAATGGATGCCTGGGAGGAATTTCACGGTAGTGACGGAATTCCTCTTGACGGTGTTCGCTGACCATCCCGCCTGGGGGCTTCCGCTCTTCGCGGTCTTTCTGGCTTTCTACCTGCTCACTCTGCTGGGGAACTGTGGAATGATCCTCCTGATCCGCCAGGATCGCCGGCTGCACACCCCCATGTACTTCTTCCTCGGCCACCTCGCCCTCGTGGACATCTGCTACTCGTCCACCGTCGTCCCCCAGGCGCTGGTGGTCCTGCTGGAACGCGGCGTGGTCCTCTGCAGGGCGCGCTGTGCCGCCCAGTTCTTCCTCTTCACCTTCTTCGCGTCCATGGACTGCTACCTCCTGGCGATCATGGCCTACGACCGCTGCGTGGCCGTGTGCCGCCCCCTGCTCTATGTGGCCATCGTGACCGAGAAGGCCCGCTGGGTTCTGGTCGCGGCGGCGTACGCGGCGGGCTTCTCCAGCGCCTTCATTCGAACGGTCACCGCCTTCACGCTCTCCTTTTGCGGGAGCAACCAGATCGACTTTATTTTCTGTGACCTCCCGCCTCTGCTAAAGCTCTCGTGTGGGGACAGCTACACCCAGGAGGTGGTGATCATTGTGTTCGCCGTTTTAGTTATGCCCGCTTGTATCCTGGTCATCTCGGTTTCCTATCTGTTCATCGTCCTGGCCGTCGTGCGGATGCGCTCCCCCGCGGGCCGGACCAAGACCTTCTCCACCTGCGCCTCCCACCTCGCTGCTGTGGCGCTCTTCTTTGGGACGCTCATCTTCATGTACCTGCGGGACAACGCGGGCCAGTCCTCGGAGGCCGACCGGGTGGTGTCCGTGCTCTACACGGCGGTGAGCCCAATGCTGAACCCTCTCATCTACAGCCTGCGGAACAAGGAGGTCATGGAGGCGGTCCTGAAATCCTTGGGCCGATCGAAGGTGTCCAGAAAGTTCTAGAAGGGCCTTCATCAGCTATGTCACTCCTTACTTGCTCCACCTTTCCCGTCTTCCCTCAAGCATCACCTACTTGGGGAGATTTTCCCCAGGTAACCTCATTAAACTTGAAGCTAACATTCCATCTCCATTTTCCGATTTACTGGGTCATGCAACACTTGTCAGGGCCTTCCCGGTGGCTCAGTGGTTAAAACGTCTGCCTGTGATGCTGTAAGGATGCAGGAGATGCTGGCTCAACCCCTTGGTCAGGAGGGTCCCCTGGAGGAGGGCATGGCGTTGTCCCGCTCCAGTATTTGTGCCTGGAGAACCCCGTGGGCAGAGGGGCCTGGTGGGCTACAGTCCTGGGGTCCAAAAGAGTCCAGAAGACTGGGACACGACTGAAGCGGCTGACTACACACGCACATAATGCTTGTCCGGATCTGATGCGCTATGTTATGAATGTTTGATACTGTCTGGTCCTCACAACTAGAAAGTGAACCGCGTGAGAGGAAGCGCTTTTGTCTGTGAGATTCATTTCTGTGTGCCCCCGGGGCTTAGCAAAGCTCCCACCACACAAAAAGCTCTCAGTAACTATTTGTTGAGTGGATGAATTTATCTAAGTTTCCAGTGTCGACCTTTAAGTTCCAAGTTCTTCCGTCGGAGTTTTCTTATCTGCCAAGTGAGTTTACCTAATGTAAAGGACCATAATTTTGAGTACTCAATGCATGAATACGTAAGAACCATGTCGATCTTATTCCCTAGCATCTGTTGACTGTAATGCATTGCCTGGCACAACTGATGAATGAAACAAATTAAAAAACCTATCTACCAATGCAACTATGTTTTGATCCAAAGGGATTTTCCAAACCCCATCATTTATGTTTTCACTATTTCTCTTCTTATTGTTTCTGTGGGTTTTGAATGATAATAATATGAATATTAGTGATGATAATGATGGATAGATAGCAATGATCAAGATTTATTAGGCATTTATCACCTTCCAGCAATTGTGATGTTTGCTCCAGGAATTATTTGATTTAATTCTTTCCAAAACACTGTGAAGCATGTTTTGTTATTATTCCTTCTTTATAGGTGTAGGAGGCACCTGGGGACTTAGAGTTGAGTAATTGTTCCAAAGTCGGCAAGCAAAGGCTAGAGTGAGGTTCCGTCACACCCCACCCAAAACCTGAGCCCATCACTGCCATGCACACAGTCTCCTACTATGATCTATTTCCCACCCTCTGTAACTACTCAGTCTGGAATTTATTGTTATTGCCATTTTCTTTTTCCTCTTACCTGGTGAAGAAAAGATAAAAGGCCAGTCTGTAGAGGTAGAAGGCAGTCAGCAACATTTATTTTATAGCCCTGATATGCTGGTACTTTGTAATATGGAAGTATGTGTCAATGTGGGCTGTGTGTGTGTACGCATACAGTTGTGTATGAGAAAATGAAGTGCACAGATTAAACAGGTGCTGATTTCTGAACTCTAGGACCTTTCATTTTAAGGACATAATAACAAAAATTTTAGAGAAGAGTTGGGTGGACATGTTTCAGAAGATACTGGGAGAAAATTACAGCTGTGGCCAAGAGATTTGGATTCACACATCAGCCTTTGCTCATGTTTTTGTGCAAATCACTTCACTTGGGGTGACGCAACTCCATGGAGGGCATCTTGATCATTTTTCAAATATTAGCTGCCATGTGATGTTCCCTGACCCATCAGCTTTTCTCATAGGTGCTAAGAGGCATTTTTGTATTGTGGAAAGAGCTCAGAATTTGGTACCAAAGTGTCTAGTCTGTCACTTCTTAGCCCATTATGGCTTCAGATTCGTTAAGGCTTATCAGCCTTCTTTCTCAGCTGTGAAGTAAGACTTACTGAGCATTTACTGTGGGCCGGGTTTCACGTGCATCTCATTTGTCCTCACAGCTTGGCGCATGTTGAGGGTGGGAAAGTGCTGGGTGTCGTTCATAAGCATAAACGTGAATTCATAAACAGCACTTTCATGATGATTGTCCCAGACCTCACAGTGCACGTGTACCGATGGGTGGAGGGACCCACAGCTGATCAGTGGACATCTTCATTTCAGAACCGTCTGGAACAGTATTTCCTGGGCCAGGATTAGCCTTGGATCCAGACACCTTCTGAGGTAAAGAGTTCACTAGTAGATTTTAAACTAGCCATCAAGCTGGCATAAATTTAAATGCACACTTAAGCTAACAGAAGACACTAGGCTAAAAGCTTTACATGAATCATTTATTTTAGTCCTCCCAACAGATTTAATGGAAAGTAATTATTACTGACCTCATTTCCAAAAGGAAGAAATTTAGACCCAAAGAGATTGTGTAACTTGCCCAAGTATCAAAAAACTGACAGACCAGGGAAGACGTGATCTCAAGTGTCCAAAGTATGTCCTCTTAAATGATATTCACCCTTCTGTATTTTTCCCTCCTCTTTCTTCCAGGCCATAGTACTCAGTTGCAATTTGCTTCAGAGGCATCTGAATTTCAGTTGCTTTCTTGGTCTCAATGTTTGGTAGGTCTGGGCTAGTGTGGATGCGTCTAATGGACTGACATAGATATGAAATTCAGGGAACTGATGTTTGCCTTCTTGTAGGGCAGTGATGTGAATCGGAGAATTTTCAGCCCCCTCAGAAAGAGCAGGATTGACTCAGATGAACTATTGACTTCTAAAGACCTTCTAGAGCACCTCTGGAGTCAAAGCTTCCTCCAATAAGTGGTTCATTATCATGGGGTCTCCGAACTATCTTCCTGATGGCTCAGACACTAAAGAATCTGCCTGCAATTCAGGAGACCTGGGTTCGATCCCTGGGTAGGGAAGATCCCCTGGAGAAGGGAATAATGACACCACTTCAGTATTCTTGCCTAGAGAATTGCATGGACAGAGGAGCCTGGTGGGCTACAGCCAGTGGGGTCACAAAGAGTCAGACATGACTGAACAACTAACACTTTCACTTTCATGAGGTCTCCAAACAGTCGCCAAACTTATCTCCATATCTTCTTTTCCAGTCTTTAGTGATTGTCCAAGAATTCAAGATTCCTTTCGGAATGATCCAAACACTGATCATTGCTCTTTCCTACCATTTAACAGCATTAAAAAATGTAATTTATTATTTTCTTGTATGTATCATCTATCTTCATCATCATCATCTATTCATTATCTATCTATTATATCTATCTATCTATATCTATTTTCTATGTCTATCTACCTATTCATCTATCATTTCATCAGATATGACTCAAAGGATGTGCCTGAAACCCCTTCTGATTTACAAAACTTTTTAAAAACAGCTTCACTGAGGCAGAATTGCAAGCAATAAATTGCATATTAAGTGTACAATTTGGTAAGTTTTGACATGTGAATACACTCAGGAAACTGTCTCCACAATAAAGATAATGGACATATCATTCCTCCTCAAAGTTTCTTTTGCCCCATCCTAGTTTCTTGAATGTGCCCCTTCCCACCACCCACCCCTTCATAAGCCCAGGCAACCACTCATCTGCTTTTTTCACTATCCACTAGTTAGAATGTCTTAGAATTTATGTAAATTTTATATAAATGAAATGCCTGACTTTTTTCACTTAGCATGATTATTTTCAGATGCATTAGTATTGTTCTGAGTATCAGTAGTTCATCCCTTGTTATTGCTTTTTCATTGCATGAATATACCACGGTTAGTTTATTCCTTCACCTATTGATCGGCATTTTGGTTGTTCCTGGTTTTTGGCTCTTTTTAAAAAAGCTGCTGTTAGCATTCCTGAAAAGTCCTTTTATGGATCCACACTTTCATTTCTCTCAGGTAACTATCTAGGGCAAGAATTGTTGGATCATATGGGAGGTGTATGATTAACTTTTTAAGAAACTGCCAAACTGTTTTCTAAAGTGGTTGTATCACTTCGCATTTCCACACCTTCCACATCCTCTTCAACGCTTGGTATGGCCATCCTTTTTTAATGTTAGCCTTCTAGTGGGTTTCTATGGTACTTCACTGTGATTTTAGTTTGCATTTCTCTGATGAGTAATTACATTGATATTTAACTTTTAAATGTGGTCACTTGCCTTTAGTAAGTCTTTGGTGAAGAGTCTGTTCAAATCTTTTGCCTATTATAAGTGGGCTTTCTGTTTTCTTATAATTAATATGTAAGAGCTCTTTATACTTCTAGATACAAGTCCTTTATCAGATATATGATATGCAAATATTTTCTCCCATTTCCTACATCGTTGCTTGTGTTATTCTTAACAGTGTTCTTCAGAGAGTAAATGCTTTTCATTTTGATGAAGTCCCACTTATCAATTTTGTCACTTATAGATTGTGCTTTTGGTATCATATTTAAGAAATATTTGCCTGTCTCCATGGTCACAAAGATTTCCTCCTTTGTCTTCTAGAAGTTTATAGTTTAGGTTTTACGTTTATGTGCAGGACCCATTTTGAGTTGAGTTCTGTATATGAAACAAGGTTTAGGTTGAAATGAACACTTCTGCATATGGACACTCAGATGTTCCAGCTTCGTTTGTTGAAAAGACTGTCTTTTCTCCACTGAATTCCCTCTGCGCCTTTGTCAAGCATCAGTTGTCCGTGCATGTGGGCCCATGTTTGAACTCTTCTGTTCCAGTGATATAAATTTATGCTTTTACTCCAGTACCACACTGACTTGAATACTAATGTCAGAAATGAGGCAGTGCTTGTCCTTCAACTTCAGCCATTTTCATAATCGTTTTAACTATTTTAGGCCCTCTGAATTTCCATATCATTTTTAAAATCCAATTTTTCAATTTATGCAAAGATGTCTTTTGCAATTTGATTGAGATTTCATTGAATCTGATTGATCAATTTGGGGACAGTTGATATAATACCAATACTGATTCTTCTGATCCATGATGCATCTCCTTTTATTTTAGCCTTCTTTAATTTCTGTGTTTTGTACTTTATAGTGTATAGATTTTTCAATTCATTTGTCAGATTTATCCTTAAATATTCTATTACTTTTGATGCAATTGTAGTGGT